TGGTTCATCTGGTCTGGTTCATCTGCTCTGGTCCACCTGGTCTGGTCCATCTGGTCTGGTCTGCTCCACCTGGTCTGGTTCATCTGGTCTGGTCCACCTGGTCTGGCCCACCTGGTCTGGTCCACATGGTCTGGTCCACATGGTCTGGTCCACCTGGTCTGGTGCACCTGGTCTGGTGCACCTGGTCTGGTGCACCTGGTCTGGTTCATCTGGTCTGGTCCACCTGGTCTGGTCCATCTGGTCTGGTCCATCTGGTCTGGTCCACCTGGTCTGGTTCATCTGGTCTGGTCCACCTGGTCTGGTTCATCTGGTCTGGTCCATCTGGTCTGGTCCACCTGGTCTGGTTCATCTGGTCTGGTCCACCTGGTCTGGTCCATCTGGTCTGGTCCACCTGGTCTGGTTCATCTGGTCTGGTCCACCTGGTCTGGTTCATCTGGTCTGGTCCATCTGGTCTGGTCAACCTGGTCTGGTTCATCTGGTCTGGTCCACCTGGTCTGGTTCACCTGGTCTGGTCCACCTGGTCTGGTCCACCTGGTCTGGTCCACCTGATCTGGTCCACCTGGTCTGGTTCATCTGGTCTGGTCCACCTGGTCTGGTCCACCTGGTCTGGTCCACCTGGTCTGGTTCATCTGGTCTGGTCCACCTGGTCTGGTTCATCTGGTCTGGTCCATCTGGTCTGGTCCATCTGGTCTGGTTCATCTGGTCTGGTCCACCTGGTCTGGTTCATCTGGTCTGGTCCACCTGGTCTGGTCCACCTGGTCTGGTTCATCTGGTCTGGTCCACCTGGTCTGGTCCACCTGGTCTGGTTCATCTGGTCTGGTCCACCTGGTCTGGTCCACCTGGTCTGGTTCATCTGGTCTGGTCCACCTGATCTGGTCCACCTGGTCTGGTTCATCTGGTCTGGTCCACCTGGTCTGGTCCACCTGGTCTGGTCCACCTGGTCTGGTCCACCTGGTCTGGTCCACCTGGTCTGGTCCACCTGGTCTGGTCCACTTGGTCTGGTCCACTTGGTCTGGTCCACCTGGTCTGGTCCACCTGGTCCTCCACTTGCCCAACCACCTCCTTGGCCTCCACTATGTGTTCAAGTATGATAATGTAGTTGTGGTCAGCTCCTAGAGGCCTCTCCTGCTCCTGGCTCTACAACATCTGCCTCGTGTGGGGAACACAAGAGCCTCCACAGTTGCTGGTGAGTCCTCTCTTTTACTCTTGTTTTGTCTGTGATGTGCTGCTTTAAGAGGCGTTTGCCTGCCAGGAACACAGCAGGAAATGACAGGACCATTCAGCAGAGGAAGCTACGTGACCCCAGGGTATGTTAGAAGGCGTTTGTCTGCCAGGAACACAGCAGGAAATGACAGGACCATTCAGCAGAGGAAGCTACGTGACCCCAGGGTATGTTAAGAGGCGTTTGCCTGCCAGGAACACAGCAGGAAATGACAGGACCATTCAGCAGAGGAAGCTAAATGACCCCAGGGTATGTTAGAAGGCGTTTGTCTGCCAGGAACACAGCAGGAAATGACAGGACCATTCAGCAGAGTAAGCTAAATGACCCCAGGGTATGTTAGAAGGCGTTTGTCTGCCAGGAACACAGCAGGAAATGACAGGACCATTCAGCAGAGGAAGCTAAATGACCCCAGGGTATGTTAGAAGGCGTTTGCCTGCTAGGAACACAGCAGGAAATGACAGGACCATTCAGCAGAGGAAGCTAAATGACCCTAGGCTGTGTTAAGACGTGCTTTGCCTGCCAGGAACACAGCAGGAAATGACAGGACCATTCAGCAGAGGAAGCTAAATGACCCCAGGGTATGTTAGAAGGCGTTTGTCTGCCAGGAACACAGCAGGAAATGACAGGACCATTCAGCAGAGGAAACTAAATGACCCCAGGGTATGTTAGAAGACGTTTGTCTGCCAGGAACACAGCAGGAAATGACAGGACCATTCAGCAGAGGAAGCTACGTGACCCCAGGGTATGTTAGAAGGCGTTTGTCTGCCAGGAACACAGCAGGAAATGACAGGACCATTCAGCAGAGGAAGCTACGTGACCCCAGGGTATGTTAAGAGGCGTTTGCCTGCCAGGAACACAGCAGGAAATGACAGGACCATTCAGCAGAGGAAGCTACGTGACCCCAGGGTATGTTAAGAGGCGTTTACCTGCCAGGAACACAGCAGGAAATGACAGGACCATTCAGCAGAGGAAGCTACGTGACCCCAGGGTATGTTAAGACGTGTTTACCTGCCAGGAACACAGCAGGAAATGACAGGACCATTCAGCAGAAGCAGCTCGGTGACCCCCGCGGTTAGATCTGTCCGGCATTGAATCTAAAATTTTGACAGTAAGTCTTCAGAGCAGCACCAACAGTCCCGTAGAACAAGTGTTTTAATACTGTCATTTATTTAATACCATAATTACATATGTATTTCCAATGGGTCTATGGAACTGGGAAGGGGACAGGATAAGTACTATCCTGACAACCATATAGACAGTCGGGGATTGAACTCGGACCTGCATGCCGCCAGACCGTCGCTCTACCCGAAGTGGTTGGGCATCATGACCTAAATATTGACAACCCTTCCCCATTATTTACCCTTTGTTTATCAGCCCCTTAGGCCTATTTCAGGCACTGTTAACTGCTGCCAGATTTGAGAGCTTCACGACGCTCTTTACTGCTCTTTGGAGCTCTTTATACTCTATTCCTTTCCTTCTCCACTATTGTTGTTACTCTAGACATTGGCTCTATTATTCCTCCAGACGTTCCCAGCTCTAAGACGTTCCCAGCTCTAAGACGTTCCCAGCTCTAAGACGTTCCCAGCTCTAAGACGTTCCCAGCTCTAAGACGTTCCCAGCTCTAAGACGTTCCCAGCTCTAAGACGTTCCCAGCTCTAAGCTAAGACATTCCCAGCTCTAAGACATTCCCAGCTCTAAGCTAAGACATTCTCAGCTCTAAGTTAAGACATTCCCAGCTCTAAGCTAAGACATTCTCAGCTCTAAGTTAAGACATTCCCAGCTCTAAGTTAAGACGTTCCCAGCTCTAAGCTAAGACGTTCCCAGCTCTAAGTTAAGCCATTCCCAGCTGTAAGCTAAGACATTCCCAGCTCTAAGTTAAGACGTTCCCAGCTGTAAGCTAAGACATTCCCAGCTCTAAGTTAAGACGTACCCAGCTCTAAGTTAAGACATTCCCAGCTCTAAGACATTCCCAGCTCTAAGCTAAGACGTTCCCAGCTCTAAGTTAAGACGTTCCCAGCTCTAAGTTAAGACGTTCCCAGCTCTAAGCTAAGACGTTCCCAGCTCTAAGCTAAGACATTCCCAGCTCTAAGCTAAAACGTTCCCAGCTGTAAGCTAAGACATTCCCAGCTCTAAGACGTACCCAGCTCTAAGCTAAGACATTCCCAGCTCTAAGACATTCCCAGCTCTAAGCTAAGACGTTCCCAGCTCTAAGCTAAGACATTCCCAGCTCTAAGCTAAGACATTCCCAGCTCTAAGCTAAGACGTTCCCAGCTCTAAGCTAAGACATTCCCAGCTCTAAGTTAAGCCATTCCCAGCTCTAAGCTAAGACATTCCCAGCTCTAAGACATTCCCAGCTGTAAGCTAAGACATTCCCAGCTCTAAGCTAAGACATTCCCAGCTCTAAGACATTCCCAGCTCTAAGCTAAGACGTTCCCAGCTCTAAGCTAAAACATTCCCAGCTCTAAGCTAAGACGTTCCCAGCTCTAAGCTAAGACATTCCCAGCTCTAAATTAAGACATTCCCAGCTGTAAGCTAAGAAATTCCCAGCTCTAAGACATTCCCAGCTGTAAGCTAAGACATTCCCAGCTCTAAGCTAAGATGTTCCCAGCTGTAAGCTAAGACATTCCCAGCTCTAAGCTAAGACATTCCCAGCTCTAAGCTAAGACATTCCCAGCTCTAAGCTAAGACATTCCCAGCTCTAAGCTAAGACGTTCCCAGCTCTAAGCTAAGACATTCCCAGCTCTAAGACATTGCCAGCTGTAAGCTAAGACATTCCCAGCTCTAAGCTAAGACATTCACAGCTCTAAGTTAAGACGTTCCCAGCTCTAAGCTAAGACGTTCCCAGCTCTAAGCTAAGACATTCCCAGCTCTAAGACATTCCCAGCTCTAAGCTAAGACGTTCACAGCTGTAAGCTAAGACATTCCCAGCTCTAAGCTAAGACATTCCCAGCTCTAAGCTAAGACATTCCCAGTTCTAAGCTAAGACATTCCCAGCTCTAAGCTAAAACGTTCCCAGTTCTAAGACATTCCCAGCTCTAAGTTAAGCCATTCCCAGCTCTAAGCTAAGACATTCCCAGCTCTAAGCTAAGACATTCCCAGCTCTAAGACATTCCCAGCTCTAAGCTAAGACATTCCCAGTTCTAAGCTAAGACATTCCCAGCTCTAAGCTAAAACGTTCCCAGCTCTAAGTTAAGACATTCCCAGCTCTAAGCTAAGACATTCCCAGCTCTAAGACATTCCTAGCTCTAAGCTAAGACATTCCCAGTGACAGGTGTTGACAGTCGTTAGACAGATCGTTAGGGTCGTCAGATGACAGTCTAACAGTCACCTGAGTCATTAGACAGTCCCAGACCGGCTGGACGAGGCGGGACCAAGGAGCCAGAGCTCAACCCCCGCAAGCACAACTAGGTCAGTAAGCACTTCAAGCGACACTTCCCGAAATGAGTTTATCCAAGAACTTTGTCTCGTTGAGATCCTTAACGTCTTAAGTTAAGATCATCTTAAGTGTCTGGGTCGGAACTCAGCCAGCACTTCCGATCACAGTTACGGAATCAGTGCATCTTTCCCTCAATCATGGCGGCTTATATCATGGTCCAGCATGGTCCAGCATGGTACAGCATGGTCCAGCATGGTACAACGTAGCGCAGCATGGTACACCATGGTCCAGTATGGTACAGCATGGTCCAGTATGGTCCAGTATGGTACAGCATGGCCCAGCATGGTCCAGCATGGTCCAGCATGGTACAGCATGGCCCAGCATGGTCCAGCATGGCCCAGCATGGTACAACATGGCCCAGCATGGTACAGCATAGCCAAACATGGCCCAGCATGGTACAACATGGCCCAGCATGATACAGCATGGCCAAACATGGCCCAGCATGGCCCAGCAAGGTACAGCATGGCCCAACATGGTACAGCATGGTCCAACATGGCGCAGTATGGCCCAGCATGGTACAGCATGGCCCAGCATGGTACAGCATTGCCTAGCATGGTACAGTATGGCCCAGCATGGTACAGCATGGCCCAGCATGGTCCAACATGGCACAGCATGGTACAGCATGGCCCAGTATGGCCCAGCATGGTCCAGCATGACCCAGCATGGTACAGCATGGCCCAACATGGCCCAGCATGGTACAGCATGGCCCAGCATGGTACAGCATGGCCCAGCATGGTACAGCATGGCCCAGCATGGTACAGCATGGCCCAGCATGGTACAGCATGGACCAGCATGGTCCAACATGGCCCAGCATGGTACAGCATGGACCAGCATGGTCCACCATGGCCCAGCATGGTACAACATATCCCAACATGGCCCAGCATGGCCCAGCGTGGCCCAACATGGCCCAGCATGGCCCAGCATGGCCCAACATGGCCCAGCATGGCCCAACATGGCCCAGCATGGCCCAACATGGCCCATCCTCCTCACACAGAGGCGAAAACCCATTAATATTGGCTTTCTGTGTGGCGGTTGAGTCAGCGGCTGTTGTAATTGGTTCCTTTGATGACGCGCCTCGCCCGGATTGGTGGAGGAGATAACGGCTTTTGTTTTGAACTTCAGAAATGACATGCGGGTCTGTTTAGGGCCCCGAGGGCTGTGGGCGTAGGCGCAGGTGTGGTGTGGACAGGTGTGGGGTGAGGCAGGTGTGGGTTGAGGCAGGTGTGGGGTGAGGCAGGTGTGGGGTGAGGCAGGTGTGGGGTGAGACGGGTGTGGGGTGAGGCGGGTGTGGGGTGAGGCGGGTGTGGGTTGAGGCGGGTGTGGGGTGAGGCGGGTGTGGGTTGAGGCGGGTGTGGGGTGAGGCGGGTGTGGGTTGAGGCGGGTGTGAGTTGAGGCGGGTGTGGGTTGAGGCGGGTGTGGGTTGAGGCGGGTGTGGGTTGAGGCGGGTGTGGGTTGAGGCGGGTGTGGGTTGAGGCGGGTGTGGGGTGAGGCAGGTGTGGGTTGAGGCGGGTGTGGGTTGAGGCGGGTGTGGGTTGAGACAGGTGTGGGCTGAGGCAGGTGTGGGGTGAGGCAGGTGTGGATTGAGGCAGGTGTGGGGTGAGGCAGGTGTGGATTGAGGCAGGTGTGGGGTGAGGCAGGTGTGGGGTGAGGCAGGTGTGGGGTGAGGCAGGTGTGGGTTGAGACAGGTGTGGGTTGAGGCAGGTGTGGGCTGAGGCAGGTGTGGGGTGAGGCAGGTGTGGATTGAGGCAGGTGTGGGTTGAGGCAGGTGTGGGTTGAGGCAGGTGTGGGTTGAGACAGGTGTGGGCTGAGGCAGGTGTGGGGTGAGGCAGGTGTGGATTGAGGCAGGTGTGGGGTGAGGCAGGTGTGGGGTGAGGCAGGTGTGGATTGAGGCAGGTGTGGGGTGAGGCAGGTGTGGGGTGAGGCAGGTGTGGGGTGAGGCAGGTGTGGGTTGAGGCGGGTGTGGGTTGAGGCGGGTGTGGGTTGAGGCAGGTGTGGGCTGAGGCAGGTGTGGGGTGAGGCAGGTGTGGATTGAGGCAGGTGTGGGGTGAGGCAGGTGTGGGGTGAGGCAGGTGTGGGGTGAGGCAGGTGTGGGTTGAGACAGGTGTGGGTTGAGGCAGGTGTGGGTTGAGGCAGGTGTGGGTTGAGACAGGTGTAGGTTGAGGCAGGTGTGGGTTGAGGCAGGTGTGGGTTGAGGCAGGTGTGGGTTGAGGCAGGTGTGGGGTGAGGCAGGTGTGGGTTGAGGCAGGTGTGGACCTATGGGGCTCTAACTTTACTTTCTGTGAAATAAGGAAGTTGTAATCGGACTTGGCTCAGCGTCCTCGCGGCCCGGTCCTCGACCAGGCCTCCACCCCTAGGAAGCAGCCCGTGGCAGCTGTCTAACTCCGAGGTACCTATTTACCGCTAGGTGAACAGTGGCATCAGGGTGAAAGAAAGTCTACTCGTTTGTCAAGCCCGGCCCGAGGCCAGGCTTGACTTGTGAGAGTTTGGTCCACCAGGCTGTTGCTTGGAGCGGCCCGCAGGCCCACATATACCTGGTTGATGGGGTTCTGGGAGTTGTTCTACTGCCCAAGCCCGGCCCGAGGCCAGGCTTGACTTGTGAGAGTTTGGTCCACCAGGCTGTTGCTTGGAGCGGCCCGCAGGCCCACATATACCTGGTTGATGGGGTTCTGGGAGTTGTTCTACTGCCCAAGCCCGGCCCGAGGCCAGGCTTGACTTGTGAGAGTTTGGTCCACCAGGCTGTTGCTTGGAGCGGCCCGCAGGCCCACATATACCTGGTTGATGGGGTTCTGGGAGTTGTTCTACTGCCCAAGCCCGGCCCGAGGCCAGGCTTGACTTGTGAGAGTTTGGTCCACCAGGCTGTTGCTTGGAGCGGCCCGCAGGCCCACATATACCTGGTTGATGGGGTTCTGGGAGTTGTTCTACTGCCCAAGCCCGGCCCGAGGCCAGGCTTGACTTGTGAGAGTTTGGTCCACTAGGCTGTTGCTTGGAGCGGCCCGCAGGCCCACATATACCTGGTTGATGGGGTTCTGGGAGTTGTTCTACTGCCCAAGCCCGGCCCGAGGCCAGGCTTGACTTGTGAGAGTTTGGTCCACCAGGCTGTTGCTTGGAGCGGCCCGCAGACCCACATACCCACCACAGCCCGGTTGGTCCGGCACTCCTTGGAGGAAACTATCTAGTTTCCTCTTGAAGATGTCCACGGTTGTTCCGGCAATATTTCTTATAGTCGCTGGGAGGACGTTGAACAACCGCGGACCTCTGATGTTTATACAGTGTTCTCTGATTGTGCCTATGGCACCTCTGCTCTTCACTGGACCTCTGATGTTTATACAGTGTTCTCTGATTGTGCCTATGGCACCTCTGCTCTTCACTGAACCTCTGATGTTTATACAGTGTTCTCTGATTGTGCCTATGGCACCTCTGCTCTTCACTGGACCTCTGATGTTTATACAGTGCTCTCTGATTGTGCCTATGGCACCTCTGCTCTTCACTGAACCTCTGATGTTTATACAGTGTTCTCTGATTGTGCCTATGGCACCTCTGCTCTTCACTGGTTCTATTCTGCATTTTCTTCCTTATCGTTCACTCCAGTACGTTGTTATTTTACTGTGTAGATTTGGGACCTGACCCTCCAGTATTTTCCATGTGTATATTATTTGGTATCTCTCTCGTCTCCTTTCTAGTGAGTACATTTGGAGAGCTTTGAGACGATCCCAATAATTTAGGTGTTTTATCTCGTCTATGCGTGCCGTATATGTTCTCTGTATTCCCTCTATTTCAGCAATCTCTCCTGCTCTGAAGGGGGAAGTGAGTACTGAGCAGTACTCGAGACGGGACAACACAAGTGACTTGAAGAGTACAACCATTGTGATGGGATCCCTGGATTTGAAAATTCTCGTAATCCATCCGATCATTTTTCTGGCTGACGCAATATTTGCTTGGTTATGCTCCCTAAACGTTAGATCGTCGGACATCATTATTCCCAAATCCTTGACATGCTGTTTTTCTACTATGGGAAGATTCGATTGTGTTTTGTACTCTGTATTATGTTTAATGTTCTCATTTTTGCCGTACCTGAGTACCTGGAATTTATCACTGTTAAACATCATGTTATTTTCTGCTGCCTAGTCGAAAACTTTGTTGATATCTATTTGTAGTTTTTCAATGTCTTCAGCAGAGATAATTTTCATGTTGATTTTTGTGTCATCTGCAAAGGACGACACGAAACTGTGACTTGTGTTTTTGTCTATGTCTGATATGAGAATACGGAACAGCAGTGGTGCAAGGACTGTACCTTGAGGTACAGAGCTTTTAACTGCGCTCCGACTCGATTTTATCTGATTGACTGTTGCTCTTTGCGTTCTGTTCGACAGGAAATTGAGTATCCAGCGTCCTACTTTACCAGTTATTCCCATTGACCTCATTTTGTGAGCTATCACGCCATGGTCACATTTGTTGAACGCCTTTGCAAAGTCTGTGTATACAACATCTGCATTTTGCTCTTCTTCTAGGGCTTCTGTGATTTTGTCATAGTGGTTGAGTAACTGTGACAGACAGGATCTTCCCGCTCTAAATCCATGTTGTCCTGGATTGTGCAATTCATTGTTTTCCATAAAACTAGAAATTTGATTCCTAATCAATCTTTCAAACACTTTTATTATGTGTGATGTTAGTGCAACTGGTCTATAATTTTTTGCCAAGGCTTTACTCCCCCCCTTGTGCAACGGAGCTATATCTGCAGATTTAAGTGCTGCTGGTATCTCCCCTGTATCCAGGCTCTTTCTCCATATTACGCTGAGTGCTCGCGCTACTGGGACTTTAAATTTCTTTATCAATATTGAATTCCATGAGTCAGGCCCAGGAGCTGAGTGCATAGGCATATTATCAATTTCTCTTTCAAAGTCTTCCGAGTTTGTGGTAATATCCGTTATATTATCTGCAGCTTGAATGTCATTCATAAAGAAGCTGTCTGGGTCATCAACTTTCATGTTGTTTATTGGTGTGCTAAACATAGCCTCATACTGGCTGCTTAGAAGTTCACTAATCTCTTTGTTGTCCTCTGTGTACGTACCTTCAGTTGTAATTAACGGTCCAATACTGGTCCAGGTTTTGGATTTGGATTTTGCGTATGTGAAAAAATATTTCGGATTTTTCCTTATCTCTTGTATAGCTTTCTGTTCCAATTCCATTTCCTCAGACTCATATGATCGCTTCAACGTTTGTTCTATTTCTTCCATCTCCCTGCTTAGGCTTGTTTCAGGTCCCTGTTTCAGGTTCAGGTCGTGGGTGGTTCAGGAGTCTGTGTTGAGCTCGACCTGGTGGTCGACCTGGTGGTCGACCTGGTGGTCGACCTGGTGGTCGACCTGGTGGTCGACCTGGTGGTCGACCTGGTGGTCGACCTGGTGGTCGACCTGGTGGTAGTCTCCACAGTGGTAGTGGAGACAGTGGGACCTGGGTATGGTGGGGTCGAGGCCTATGGTCATGTTGTGTGTGTGTGTGTGTGTGTGTGTGTGTGTGTGTGTGTGTGTGTGTGTGTGTGTGTGTGTGTGTGTGTGTGTGTCAGTATGGTGTATTGTGAGAGGTCAGTGGGGGGGGGGGTCAGTGGTGACCTTTGACCTCCAGCACAGTCAGGGGTCAGAGGTGACCAATATCCCAACACATTGTCTGAACAAAACCGATTGGGCCTGAATTCGATATCCGGACAGATGTCAGACCCAAATAGACATGAATATTTTATAGGGCTATGTATGGTGCTGGTGGGAGCATGTATGTATGTAT